ATGCTTCTAAAATGCTTTCAAAATGGAGGATTAAATTAAAGTAAAATTATTTTAAGTAAAAAAAAAAAATCGAATTAATATTCAAAATCTGATTAAAAATTCTTAATAATGTTTATTTTCATTTTCCCCTATATACTAATAATACAAATATTAATTAATTTTGTTTCCAGCCCATCCAAACTGTTTGGTCTTCATATCTCACGGTGGTTTGCTGTCATCCACTGAAGCCATACACTTTGGTGTGCCAACAATAGGCGTGCCAATATTCGCTGATCAATTCCTCAATGTAAACAGGGCTGTAACAAAAGGCTATGCTATCTATGTCCCATTGACTATCAACTTGCCGCGTGATTTGAAACCAGCTATTGAGACCATGTTGAGTGATTCGGGGTAAGTTTTCTTTATAGAACTTTGTATCACAAAACCTGTCAAATTGTTACTGTAGCTTCTAGAATACCGGTATAACGATACCCATGGCAAACATGACGCGTTACCATTCTTGAGAGCTAAGGTAGTATGTCTTTGTACTCAGTATTCACCCAACACAGTGTAGGACGACCTCCCACTAGATGGAGTGACGGCCTTAAATGCATTGCAGGGTGTCAGTGGATGTAGGTGGCTCAGGATCCTTCCTTATGATAGTGTATGGGGGAGGCCTATGTTCCGCAGTGGACAGATAATGGCCGAGATGATGATGATGATGATGATTCATCCTTTAAACTGAAAAAAAGGTTTCACAGCAGAAATACGAGTAGGAGACTATTCTTGCAGACGACTTTTGCAAGAACACTCTCTCTAGTACCTGTTGTTTCATATCGGGTACTAGCTTTTATCCACGTTTACGTACGCATAGTTTTTAGAAGTTTGAGCCAATTCATTATTATTATTATCATATCAGCCCTTTACTGACCACTGCTGAATAGAGGCCTTCCCTTTGGGGAGTTTTGCCAAACGTTGCCGCGATTGGCAGGCGGGTTGGCAATCGTATTTAGGAATCGTGATGTTTTAATAGGAACGCTGCTACCCATGACTTGAATATAGGGGTTGATATTTCGCTATATAAAGAATCTATCTGCAAACTTTCAAGGTTTCAGATTCAGCGGTTTGGGCTGCCCGTTGATATATGGGTCAATCAGTCAATCGCTCAGCATAATTTTTTATACATATAGAATTTTTAATTAGTAATTTATAAATATGCTACAGCAATAAAATAAGGTAATGGAAAATGGCTACTTTATGTATGTATAAAGAATTTAAACAAGATATTACAGAATAAAATTGTTAGCACAAGTTCGGTACTCTCCATGCAAAGCTGATAATAGTTAAAGAGAGAAAGAGACAGCTGATCTTTTAATTCGTATTTGTATATGCAGGTACAGAAGGAAAGCATGGGAGCTCAGTAAAATATATCACGACCGGCCGGTATCCCCTGGGGCGGAGGTGGTGCACTGGGTTGAACACGTGATACGTACAGGTGGCGCTCCGCACCTCCGTTCGCCAGCGCTACATGTGCCATTCTACCAGAAGTTCTACCTGGACCTAGCTGCCGTTCTCATTGTATCATTTTATATATTAATACTGGCAATTAAATCAATATTCTGTAAATCATTTAAGACTAAACAAAGAAGTGACAGTAAGAAAACGAAAAGGAATTGATTGTAAATTTGCTTTTTTTTAATAGATTTTTTTTAATAGTTTTTGCTTTATTTGTTTTATTTTTGTTTTGGTGGTTTTTATTCTGTTTAGATGGTAATATGGTTTATTTGGAATATTTTTAAATATTGTTTCATAAAAAGTCTAATTTCAATATTGAAAAAAGAATGGCCACGATAATGGAAGGAAGAATTTTAAAAAATCAATAATTAGCTTTAATAGGCAAATTTTTTATATCTTAGACTATATTATTGTCATTTTCGTAGTGATCTTTATTTTTTATTTAAATAATATGTGCCGTGTAGTACCAATATAGAATGGGCCACCCCTTTCGCGTTGGTGTCAGTTAGTCCATCGTGATAAATTTTCTGGAATAAATCGCAATGATTTTTTAATGACGTTTGAATAAGAGAAAAAAGATATGAATAGCCCATTATCACAGACTTCTGTCTGTAATGCCATAAATGTACCTGCATTAACATAAAACGAGAGATAGAGGCACAGATAGGCATATATGACTTTAACACACCATACAGTGATGACAAACATATATATATATGTACTATCTCTACTGTCCACTGCTGAACATATGCCTTCCCCATAAGGGGAGTTTTGCCAGTAGTTGCCACGCAGTAGTTGGCAGGCGGGTTTGGAATCGCAGGTTTAGAGATGTTTTAAGAGGGACACTGCTGCCCTCTCGCCCGCCGTATATACCATATACGTATATAAACAGTTTCTTTTTGTTAGATCTTTACTTATATACTATTTAATGAAACTATTATTGTTGTTAAATATTTACATTAGATTAGAGTTCTGCAATTTGGAATTTCACAATCAATTAAACATTTGTGAAATAATGGTGTAAGGAATAAGATAAATTGTGTGGTTCGCTAACTCTACAGTGGATATTATAGCTATAGACAGAATGATGAAATTATGTGTTTAAAATTGAAAATTTAGTTTCTTAGTTTAACAATAAGGATAAGCAAGCTGAAGTAGGAATGGGCTGGTCACATAGCTTAAAAAACCGACAACCAATGTGGAAGAAAGGTTCTTGAGTGACGACTCTGGGCAAATGCAATGTAAAATGATTCTCTCTAGATGGAGTGACGACATCAAATGCATTTGCACGGACTCTTTGGATGCAGGTGGCTCAGGACCGTTCCTTAAGACAGTCTATATGGAAGAGGGGAAGGGATTGTTAGTAATGCGGATTATCAGTCCTTTTGCTAGCAACATACCTTATCAAGTCGATCTCCACGTGGATCCCCCTGGAAACCATCGTGATGAATTGTAGGTGTATTCATCACGGTGGGCTAACTAAACTTCCCTTTCATCCTCACCTACATGTTATCCCTCACTGGTGCCCCGCCAGTGTAAACCGTTAGCGCAAGCGGGGTTACCATTTCATTATCATCCATTGAAAAAGTCTATGGGGGAGGCCTATGTTTTGCAGTGGACAGATAATAGCTGATATGGTGACGATGATGATGAATTATTGATATAAACACACTTATAGTAATCATTTAAAATATTTTAAATGTGAAAGTGAGTTTTTTTTTATACAACTTAGAATGGCAAACAAGCTGACGGCTCATCTGATGGAAAGTAGTAACCGTCGCCTATACACATGAGCAGTACCATGGACATAACAGACAACATGACAAAGAACTGTTTCGTCCATGGTACCCCCCATACGGTGCCATTCTTGAGGACTCAGGTGTTATTCCTCCTTACCCTGTAAACTCACGCCATATCCCTCTTCAAACCGAAACACAGCCATGCAAACACAACTGCTTCACGGTAGAAACACGAATGGGACAGAGGTACCCAAGCAATCGACTTTTGTACAAAGTTTTCTTTCCAACATGGAGCCCACGCCCCACAGGGGTAAAATTTGATAGTTAAGCCCCCCTTAACTATCAAATGGTCCCCCTGTTGGGTAATTTGAAAATGGACTCGAAGCGATTTTAACCCTTTTACTCCGGGCCATTTACATGCAATACTACGAGTAGATATGGGTGCCAAATTTAACAAAAAAAGTAAATAGAAAAAAAGTTTACTTTTTATTTTAAATTTTATTTTATTTAGATAATTATCTCTTAATATTGGCGTTTGTCGATCAGTTGCCAATCAATTGTTAATCAGTTTCAATATACGGCCACTAGCAATCTCGTTATATCAATTCATCCTGCAACAATAGGTAAACAAAGTTATTATTTTTTAAATAAATAGGTTATCAATACTGCACTAAGTGTGTACAGAAAATAAACAACTACTTATAATTAAATTGAACTTTATCGTAATAATTATAAAAGTTAAAAAATATCATAAAGAAACGTGTATTTAAATGATAACAGTGGCTGTAATGAGTGTAAATTATAATGCGTTACAATACTTTTTAAATTGTATGGTCTACAACAAAAGTTGTAATGCGTTTATATTAATTTAGCTTTTACCCGCGACTTCGTCCACGTGATCGGGATATGTTTACTGAAAGGGATAAAAAGTAGTTTACTCCTATCTAGATCCAATATAGTTTGTTTATACCAAATTTTATTGTGATTGGTTAAGTCGTTAAGGTGTTATAAGGTAACAAACAAACTTACTTTTAGATTTATAATATCAGTAAGGATGGTATATCTGTTTGTATTGGTGTGAGGGTTTTTCAGTATGAAACGAAATTCTTTGACTAATTTTTAGGTTTCCGTACCACAACGGTACAAAGGCATAGCTGAGATGCAACTATCGTCCATTTGTTCATCCGTCTGTTACAGCTTTATTTACAGCAGTTACAAATGATATAGATTAAAAAATTGGAACCGTTTTAGATATCGTTGGCTCGTACAAATTGCAAAATAACTGAAAATATTTTTATTTTTTTTGATAGGGGGTCTAAGAAGTGAAATACGTACAGATGACTTTTGTGTAAATTGCTAATAAATGTAATTGTGTGTTGTATAGTATCAGTAATATAAGATTTAGTGTACAGTTCTTATAAATTACTGGCAAAATAAAATAGTTGAAAGGCTCGAAAAGAAAATCAACAAAAAATAATAATTAAATTACGTCACATAAAATTCGACTTCACACTACTATATACTACTGAACCGATTTTCGTTAAATTTCTATGTGATTTATCTGTAACTATATATTTTTAGATAAAAAAAATAAATAGTAAATATTTGACGGAGTTATGAGGTAACAAAACATAAAAAAATACAACCCAATTGAGAATCTTCCTTTTCGAAGTCGGTTAAAAAATCACACAAGAACAATTGGAATATTTTTGTTGACTGTACTGTATTTAATATTATAGGTACGAGTACATGTGAGAGATAATATTCTTAGTAACACATATCAGTAGTGTTCGCATGTCCACAAGTTAAACGAGACTTGTACAATGAATCTTTTTATACTATTTACATTATTTATGTGCAGTGTTGATGCTTATAAAGTATTATTAATATACAGTTTGCCCGTAAGGAGTATTGGCATTTTGGGCGAGGGACATTTAAGGAATCTCATAGACTCTGGACATGAGGTAATTTCATCATTTAAGATTGTTTAAAAATTGTAAGATTGATCGAATACTCCCTTGTAGATATAGAAGTTTTCTTATACAAAATATTGTTCGATTCTGTTAGTATTAATTTAATATAATGTAACAATTATCTTTGGGGTCTACCATGAAAACTAATTCCGAAGTTTCGAACTAGAATTTCAATAATACGATGAAGTGTTCGTTCATAGATAAATCGGACCTTTTCTCATAGAAGGAAATATATGTTTTATATGTCATAAACCCCACTATAAAATATTCGAATGGGAGAAATTGTAATATTTTGTCAACATATCTTTCGTTATTTCAACATCAAATTCTTGTTTTGTTTGGCTTGGAATTTCTTGGAATTTCCATTAATATCATATATATCCCTCTTCATCTTTGAAATTTTATAAAAATGTTCACAGTAGGTACATTTGGCTTAACCAAATTTTCATGCTTTCAAATAATAAAATTCTTTTTGAATGGATGATAATGGAGTGGTAATCATGTTTGCTCTAACGGTATACGCTGGCGGGGCATCAGTGAGGAATGATAGGTGAGAATGAAAAAGCAGGTCAGTTAGCCCATCATGATGAGTACACCTGGAGCTCAGCAAGTTATTTTCAAGTACTATTTATCCTAACACGTAAATATATAACTGATAATATAATTATCATCTTCCTGCCTTATTCCAATTATTTGGATTTAGGAAAAAGGAGGAGGACTTTGGGAGTGAGTAAACAAAGTTGGTAAAGAATGAACAATTTATGGGGGAAAAGAAAAGAGCGACATTGCAGTTGCGGAAGGGATACTGGTCAGAAGATGCAGTGGCTCGGAAGCCCGAGGTCGCACACCCGTATAGTCTAGTTAGATTAGTACTAGAACGTAGAACTAGTTACTCTAGAACCGGAGAGATCACTAGAAAGAACACCTCTGCCATATTAATACAGTTTTTCTTATTCTTAATAATTTTATCTAAAGTATATATAAAATTAATAGCGTATTTAATTGGCGATTGCAAATTTGTGCAGGTAACGTATATAACTGTTTATCCATTGAAGAACCATAAATATGGGAATAAACTTCAACAAATCGATGTCAGCGATAACGTAAAATCATTACCAGGTAAAAATATTTAACTTATTTGAAAATAGAAGCAGTGATACATATTCTTTTTTGCTCTATAATATAAGCCAATCTTCTTAAGTTATTAAAATACTTAGAACTTGCAAACAAACTGACTGCCCACGTGATAGGACATGGTAACCGTCATCTATAAATATGAACAGTACCATGAACACTACAGAATGTTGAACAGCATCCATGGTAGTTCTCATACGATGCGAATCCTGAGAACAATGGAGTTGTCTGTACCTTATAACTTCATTGTCATATCCCAAATTCTATGATTTCCATAGTCGTAGATAGAACGCATTGTATAATTCTGTTTATTTGGTATCGGCTCAAATTAAATCAGAATATCTATTTTGACGGGGTAAGTAATTGGTGGCCGAATATTGCATGTCTTGCTTTAGTTTGTTAGTAGAGAGAACCGTCTTAGGAAATTTGAGGCTTAGCTAAATTTAACCTTATGACCTTATGGTCATGACTTGGTTGGTATAAGATATACTATACGAGACAAAATTTGAAATGTTCTAGATCTAGATGAAAATAAAACGATAATACAGATATTATCTGAAGAAGTAATAGTGAATTTCTAGTTGATTGTTCTAGTGAAGAGTAAACAGGGGACGACATAAAGATATATATAAAAAACTAGTTACTTATTAAGTTACCACGTAAAGTTCTAAGCAGAGAATATATTGTATCCAAAATATTTAATTATTATGGTAAAAGAATACCACCCATGCGTTGCCATTCATGGGCGAAATAGTATACTCTGTTATGTCCATGGTACTGCTCATATCTATAGGCAACGGTTATCACTTTCCATCAGGTGGGCCGTCAGCTTGTTTGCCATTCTAAGTTGAATAAAAATAAAGTCTAAGAAGATAGATATTAGTATAAACTAATTTCCACAGATAATGGTATTATGGATATTGGAGCTATTATGCACAATGGTGTGCCGATGAATGATGTTGGTACTCTTCAAGAAATTTCTGTACATAATGCTATTCTTACCTTCGAGAATGAGAATGTGAGAAAGCTTATAAATGATCCCAATGTACGTTTCGACGTGGTCATATCAGATTTGTATGAAACTGAAGTTTACGCCGCGTAAGTATTACGAATAATTCTTTATATTCAAAAAAAAAACAATGTTTTAGTATATATAAAGATGTCTATGGTGCAGTGGTAAGCATATCGCTCTATATAAATGAGGTCTTGGATTTGATTGTCAATTGAAGGGGTCGGATCAATTTAGAAAAGAAATTATTCTAAATTGGCTTGGTTTCTACAAATGCTTGTTGCTTGGTTCCTTGTACTACTAATCCTAGCTTGTGATCCAGGCAGTTGGTATGATTGTGCACTTATTATTATTGTATGTATAAGTTGTTTTATTGTAATTCATAGTATCTATAAGCTTTGCTTAGTTTGTGACTAGAAGGAAGGACTATGAAGTGTGGGATATGGCAATAAATTTAAGGGTACAGAGAAATAACACCTGAGTCCTCAGGAATGGCAACGCATGGGGAGTATCATGGGCGAAACAGTATACCCTGTTATGTCCATGGTACTGCTCATGTTGACGGTTATCACTTTCCATCAGGCGGGCTGTCAGCTTGTTTGCCATTCTAAGTTGCATAAAAAAAGCTAATTGATGCCGTTGTGATAAATGTAACACTTTTTCTTAAGCACATTTAAATGTAGAAATGTCTCTCTCTCTCTCTTTTTTTCTCTAGTAATTATGGTAACATACTTCGTGCTAGTCTAAGTACTACGGTAAACATATGCCTCGACTTCCTTAATCATTATTTTAACACACATGTATAATATTCACATTACAGTAGTTACTGTAAATGTAAGAAATTTATGTTGTGTGTGATACATATTTACACAATCATCGTGAAAAGTACAGATATTTGATTCAGGTAGAATATATAACTGAATTCCGTGATTCCCGTGTGGTTCCGGCATAGAAAAGACCACTTCTTCCTTTTCTGTGGGTGGTTTAGAAATTGTGTGCACGAATAAACAGTCTTTTTTTTAAAAGGCCGGCAGCAAACCTGCAATGCCGTAGGTGTTATGGGTGACCACGGGCGGCGGTAGTCACTTACCATCAGGTGAGCCGCATGCTTGTTTGCCCCCTGTGTTGTAAAAAAAAAGAATAAATAGTTGAATTGAAAGTAATTTTTTCATTAGAAACCTTATAAGATTAAACATGTCTGCTATGTTTTGATCACTAATATTATGGTTTTCTAGATTTGCAGCATTATACAACTGTCCGATGATATGGAGTTATTCTATGGGAGCTCAATCGTCGGTATTGCAGCTGATTGATCAACCAACTAATCCTGCTTATACTGTTGATTATTTATCTTCAAACACCCTGCCTCTCTCCTTCCAGCAAAGAGTTGAAGAGTTATGGGCGTTGATAAAATGGAATATAATGAAGAGGTAATTATTTAATATTAGCTACTTGTGATACATTTATTGATGAATAATCACAGTTGTTTAGAAAAAAAAAAACAAACAGCGGCTTCAATGTAGAAAACATTGATGAACGATGAAATATTTCATACAAACATTAAATTGATAATATTTCGATTCAGAATGCAAAATCACGTGTCTAGAAATTTGTTTCTAATTTCTAATAAAAAATAAGTAATATGTGTAAATATGTGTAAAGAACAAGGGCTGTTTAAACTTTCATAAAGTTAATGTAAGATCAATATGAAAATTAACCATAGCACTTAAAGAATTAACAAAATTGATTTCAAACTTATGGCACAATTAATACAAAGCATACAGATGATTTGTTATTTTGTAATTAATTTATTGATATATGTTTATAATAATAATAGTTTATTTGCTTAAATATAGATATTATAGATGGTACAATATTAGATTATTACGCCTCCATATTTTATCACAAATGGCGTGCAAGTCTATTTTTAATATAAATTCTAGTAAAATTCCATTGTTATAATAATAATAATAATAATAAATAATAAACAGGCAGAACAGGATACCGGGCAGTAATGCACCGCGAGTTTCTGCGTCTTTTACCGGATCTAACCGTCTCGGAACAGAACCTAGCCGACAGAGTTCGGTACATACAGCGCTCTGGTATGTTTAGCGCGACCGAACTCGAACGATTGCGAAGTGAAGTTGTTCCAGAAGCAAATTCCGCGACCGTAGAGCAACCCATCTCAGACGTGCTACCTAGCGTAGAGGTGGTTGCCGAAACGCTTTCAGAAGCGGATGCGGACGGAACAACTTCCCAGGATATAGAGCATATGAGGAGCATACTAGAGGAGGCGATTCTAGAGATCCGAAGAACTCCCCTCGAAGAGAGACCGAAGCTTCCCCGGATATATCCAAATGTGGCGACGCGGGATGCCATTGAGGCCACAAATGGACTGCTGCCTCAGTACCTTGAGGGCAGCGGTGACCTGGGAGAGACGAGTTCAATCCTGTTTGGCGCTGCGTTGGCAGTATGCCGATATACCGGCGCAAAAATGCCCCGGGCTGGACGTAATATCCAAAGGGATAATATGAAACCAGCCTGGAAAAGAAGGATTGAACGACGGATCGCCCAGGCCAGAGTCCTCATTGGTAGACTGCTCTGCTTCAGGGAGGGCAACACACGCCCGAGAATTATGCGCTCCGTAAAAGAGGCCTTTGCTGGGACAGGTGTACGTCTGTTCCAGCCGGACTTCGGGCACAAACTTACGGAGCGCATAGATGAACTGAAGCAGAAGATCGCTGCATGGGGGAAGCGACTCCGACGGTACTCTGAGAGGGTTGAGAGGTATCAACAGAATCGCCTCTTTATGAGTGATCAACGGAAGTTTTATAGGAACTTGGAGCGCCCAAAACTACAGCCCACAGGACAAAGACCCGAAACAGCCAATTTCGTCGCCTTCTGGAGACAGCTGTGGTCTGAACCTGTGGAACATGAGGAGGGCGCATGGATGCACGATGTTGAGGAAGCATGTGCTCGAATAACGCCGATGAACGCCATTGCCATTACGGAGGAAGACGTGGTTGCCGCGATCCGTCGGGCTCCGAACTGGAAAAGTCCGGGGATCGACGGATTGCAGCACTACTGGTTAAAGGCGTTCTCGGCCAGCCATGCGACCTTAGCCGTGCAATTCCAGAGTGCCCTCGAAAACAGGGCGCTCCCGAACTTCCTTACAACCGGGATCACTCATTTAGCTCCTAAGACGGACGATACCGCGGATCCATCTAAATATCGCCCCATCACTTGTCTTACGACAATATATAAGACGTTAACATCCGTTCTGAGCGCTAAGATCTCTCGTCATGTGTACGAGAATAAGATCCTATCTAGCGCTCAGAACGGATGCAGGGGCGGTAGCCGCGGATCGAAGGAGCTGCTCCTCATTGATGCTGTCGCTGGCCACGTGGTCAAGCGGAACCGTCGGAATTTCTCCGCCGCCTGGATAGATTATAAAAAGGCGTTCGATTCCGTGCCCCATTCATGGCTCCGGAGGATACTCGAGCTGTACAAGATCGACGGTACAGTTCGAGTGTTCTTGGAGGCATGCATGAGGCAGTGGACGACGATCCTGACTATCCAGGGCGAGCGATTGACGGATACCGCTGACCGGATAGAGATAAAGAGAGGAATATTCCAGGGCGATTGTTTGAGTCCACTTTGGTTTTGCCTGTCCCTGAATCCACTCAGTACTTTACTGGAGAATTCGGGGACTGGATTTCAGTATCGGAGAGGAGGTACACGAGTGTCTCACCTTCTGTACATGGATGACTTGAAACTGCTAGCTCCGAGCGTCGAACGCCTGACGGAGCTGCTAAATATCGTAAACGATTATAGCAGCTCTATTAGAATGGCGCTCGGAATAGACAAGTGCGCGGTCCTCCATGTGCAGAGGGGACGGGTCACTCAAACTGAAGGGATCGCCACAGATCCCTCTAATATTAAAACCCTCTCCGAGGCTGAAACATACCGGTATCTGGGCATGTCACAAAACATCGGTGTGAAGGAGACGGATATGAAACAGTCAGTCCGCGAGGAATTTTTTGCGCGCCTTACAAGAGTACTGAAAAGTTCTTTGTCGGGCGCCAATAAAATCCGAGCTTATAACGGCTGGGTCATACCCGTACTCCTTTACACTTTTGGCGTGCTCAGATGGTCTCAAACCGAACTCGAAGCCCTGGATCGGAAAGTCCGCACAACTATGACCCTCCATAGAATGCATCACCCGAAATCGTCAGTCATGAGGCTGTATATCCCGCGGAAAGCTGGTGGTCGAGGCTTGTTAAGCGTTAAGACCATGCACAACCGCGAGATTGACAGCCTCAGGACATATTTTCTGGAGAAAAGAGACGAGGGTTTGCATAGAGAGGTCATAGAATGTGACAAAGGATTCACCCCTCTTTCTCTGGCTAAAGAGGACTGGCGAAAACCCGAAGTTTTGAGTACCTCTCAGCGGGAGGCCGTATGGAAAGAGAAGGAGTTGCACGGAAGGTTCTTCAAAGCCCTTCACGGGCCGTACGTAAACACGAAGACCTCCGTGCACTGGCTACAGTTCGGTGATCTCTTCGGAGAGACCGAGGGTTTTGTCTGTGCAATACAGGATCAGGTGGTTAAGACGAACAATTACCGAAAGCACATTCTGAAGGATGGCACTGAGGACATCTGTCGAGCATGTCGCCATCCTGGAGAGTCACTCAGACATGTGCTTTCGGGTTGTTCAGCTCTTGCCAACACAGAGTACTTGCACAGGCACAACCAGGTAGCCAAAATACTCCATCAAGAGCTAGCTCTGAAGTACGGCCTCGCGAATGAGAGGTTGCCGTACTATAAGTACGAGCCACAGCCGGTCCTCGAAAGCGACAGCGTCAGGCTCTACTGGGACCGATCCATCATCACGGACAGGACTGTTCTTGCGAACAAACCTGATATCGTGGTGATGGACCGGGCACTTTCGAGGGTGTTTTTGGTGGATGTCACCATACCGCATGACGAGAACCTCGTGAAAGCCGAAACCGAGAAGAAGAGAAAATATCTCGACCTGGCTCACGAGGTGACCGAAATGTGGGGGGTGACATCTACCGAAATCATCCCAATCGTTATGTCGGTGAACGGTCTTATCCCAACCAGTCTGGAACAACATCTCAGACGGTTGGGATTCCGGGGCGGCTCACTCCCGGGAAAGATGCAGAAGGCGGTGCTCTTAGATTCTGCCCGCATTGTACGCCGGTTTCTCTCCCTGGGGCCCTGAACCCCGGCCGACTGTGCTTCTGCCGGGGGTTAGTTGCCATCTCCTCTCCTTAAGAGGGGAGATGAGAATTTTGGTAAAATTTAAAAATAATAATAATAATCTTTATTTCAAACAGTAGATTACATAATTGATTAACAACGGTCCCCATATGGGTCGAGCCTGTATCTGGGGAACCTATTAACTAATATGGATAAATATAATTTTAATATAAATATACTCGTATATAATAATTTGTAATAGTTTGAGTGTGTAGTTGTGTGTGTGTGTCGTGTGTGCGTGTGTGTGTGTGTGTGTCGTGCGTGCGTGCGTGCGCGCGTGCGTGTGCGTGTGCGTGTACGTGTGCGTGTGTGTTGTGCGCTTGCATTTCAATAAATATTTTAGGAAACAGGTCTTATCAGATCCTCTGTATGCATATAAGTTAGAGATTGCAGCCAATTACGTATTTTTAATTTTGCTTCTTTCACTGAACATCGGATAATTTTACATTTTTTTAATATTATATTATAAACATAGGGAAACATGAATAGTGGTAAACGGGAAGCGAAGTAGGACTTCACACAGGTTTGGTGTACAGTAGGGTTTCTTTTTTCCATCAGCCTGGGATAATGCGGACTGTTAATTGTGGAGCGATGCATTACTAAGGACACCCTAAGGATGTAAAGTTGTCGCACACTCAGAACGTTGGATTCCTTATATAGAGCAGTCGTAGAGTATCTGAAGGATTTCTTTAACATCACCTTTAGCACTGATCGTTGGGCTCTCTCGAGTTCTATTAATGCTGTTACTCCCATGCCACCCCATATCAAAATACAGTAACATATTATTGATTCGCATAGCGTAAGATACACTAATCGGAGAGTGCGTTTATCAGCCGAGTCACGTAGGAGTCTCATTACATAAGTAGTTTTTCTAACTCGCTTTGCAGTGTTGATGATGTGAGATTTAAAAGATAAATTTTCATCGATATCAATACCCAAATATTTTATTGTTCTTTGTCTTGTAATACTTTCACAAGTACAAAGATGACCAATGCATGTTACCTTGTGGATTTTTAAAAATTTTAACTGTTTTGGTTCCGAGGTACGAGATTTGTGAAAGCATAAAATTTTGGTTTTTTCAATATTTAACGTTAGAAGATTATTATTGAGCCAGCTACGTATGTTACTAACACCTATTTCAGCATTTTTTACTGTGGATTCCCAATTGTGATCACTAAAAATTACTGCTGTATCATCGGCATAACAAATGATATCTGCAGAAGGTAAGATTACATTGTGTATGTCATTCATATACAGAATAAAAAGCGTCGGACCAAGTACACTTCCCTGTGGAATGCCGAAATTGATGGATAGTTCTTCGCTCACAGATTCCCCAACTCTCAAATACTGACATCTATCGCTTAGGTAGCTATGAAACCATTCCAGAGCCATACCTCTAACACCGCAGCTTTCAAGTTTCTTCAAGAGAATAGGCACTGACACAGTATCAAAAGCCTTGGCGAGATCCAAAAATACCCCAACACATTTTTTTCCGTTATCAAGTTGCTTAGAAATAAGATCTGTAAGCAATTTAACTGCATCTTCTGTTGACTTACTACGTCTAAATCCAAATTGTCTTTCACTGATTATTTTATTAATTTCAAAAAAGTCCATTAACCTTTTATTTACAATTTTTTCAAGTATTTTAGAGTACATAGTCAACAACGATATAGGTCTGTAGTTTTCTGGACAATCTTTGGGACCGTTTTTGTGTATCGGAATTACCAGAGCTTTTTTCCATTGTCTTGGAAAAATTCCATTTGATAGACTGAGATTGATGATATGAGTCAGTGGAACCACTATTTCTTTTCTAATTGCCTTAAGTAAGGTGGGCCTTAACCCATCTGGACCAGGAGCACTGTCATTCTTAAGCTGACATATGTATTTATCTACTTCATGAACGTCTGTTGGTTGCATATAAAAAGAGTGATTAGCGAAATTATTTATTTTAATATTTTTCACCAACGTGTCTTGATTTGTATTGTTTTTCATAAGTGAGTCTTTTGCCAATTTCTTCCCAATATTCGAAAAATATTCATTGCAAAAATTTAAAGACTCTTCTACGGTGGTTTTAATTTTTGTTAATTCAGTTGGAATAGTTTTGTTTGGAAATTCGGCTATTGTTTTAATTGATTTCCAGAGTCTCTTAGCATCATTTTTATTATTTTCTAACAGTTTTCTATTGTAATCTTTTTTTAATTTGTGTAAAATTTCAGAAAGGTAGTTCCTATATCGCTTATAAATGTGTTGACGTACTAAATCCTGTGGGTGTCTTTTTAGGTCATTGTGAAGTTGATCACGATGCCTCATACATCTAATGAGTCCTTGTGTAATCCAAGGCTTTAGTATAAACTTCGATCTACCAATTTGTTTACGTTTAGTGTGTTTGTCTATCACTTTGGAAATATTTTTTAAGAATGTGGCAACGGCTTTATCTACATCTGTTTCATTGTTAACTGAAGACCAGTCAACATCACGCAATTCTTTTGAGATACCAGTGTAGTCAGTACTAAGCAAAAATCTATTAGGGTCCTTTGTACGATTAATAGTTGAGCAGAGACCTAACATTGCAAAATCATGGTCTGTAACATCAGTTCTGCAAACCAAACCGATAGCGATCAAGTTTCTAGACTTAATAAATATGTGGTCTAAACATGCATCGTTACGTGTTGATTTGGTAATAACTGGTATAAAATTTTGTTCAGTTAGTAAAGAAATGTAATCAGAATTACACTGATCAGACAGAATATTTATATTTATGTCTCCAGCCATTATTATTGTCGAAGTTTTCTTATAATTTTCAATTATATCACTCAGTGATGTAATAAAATTATCAATTATTCTGAAAGATGGAGAACGGTACAAACCAAGAACAACAATGGAGTTAGGCAATTCGATTGCAAGACACTCTGCTTCTGTAAACGATGGCTCTCGCACTGTGATACTCCAAGTGGTAAGTACGTAAGCTACAACGCCCCCATTCTTATTTAAATTATTTTTAGTTTTGTACGCAGTATAACCCTGAATTTGCCCCACTGGTTGATCTTCAGCAAGCCAACATTCGGTAAGTATAATAATGTCAAAAGTTATGTTTAGTCTAGCCAAAGCCACCAAGAATGAATCAAAATTATGATAAATACTACGAATATTAAAAGTTAACAATTTGAAGTTGTAAGCATTAGTCAATATATTACTACTATTTTCCAGTATTTCGCATTCGTGACATTTTATGCTAAATGTATTACAGATATCTGTTACTGTTTGTAATTTTGTTTCAGTCATTGTGAATGAGATAAGGGATAATTACATTTATTGAGTTTATTAAAATATTTATATATATGATATTATGCATTGCAAAGGAAAAAGATAAACTGTATTTTACAACTAAAATATAACGCCAAGTATATTTCTGTATATATTTAGTATTCATGAAGTGATTATGTAGGTGGATGTGTAAGTGTGAGATTGATGAAAAATTAATGATCTGTATTGTATACATAATAAGAATTAATGAATATTGTATAAAAACAAAAGACTCAATCAACAATGTAGGAGTCAATATAAATCGATATACAAGTTTTCCAAAAAATATTACCCTTACAAAATGGTAGCGAACACAACAACACACCATACCATTATTTTTGTTTCGATTCAGTGTATTGCACCTGCATTCCCGATGTTTCCATTCGCAGGTCGAGGTCTTCAAAACATCTGATATGGATAGCCGGCGCTCCGTTTGCTTTACGAATGAATATCGATCCATCACGTATCCAACAATATTGAAAGCCGCAGCACTGCGCGCGTGATCTGGCTTGGCGAAATAACTGACGATTACTATAAGTTAGGCGTTCATTGATATAAATTGTTTTCGGTGGTCCATCTACAATATTTTCAGTCGTAGTGTTTCGTCTAGCTTTTGCTGCTTTTAAAAGTTCCATACGTTTCCGTCGTCTCAACAGCTTTACAACAATAGGACGCGAAATTTTGTTTTTTGCTGCCGTTGAAGAAGCATCCAGGCGACGGTAACCAGCGCGGAATACGTGATCGAGGTCGGTGTCTGATATCTCAACACCAAACTTACGCATTGTGGTTATGGTGATATGCTGTAAATTTTCATTATCGTTTTCAGGAATTCCAACAATTTCAATATCGTTAATGATATTGTTTTGCTCTTGAACTGCAAGCTTTTGTTGCACTTCTGTAAGGGATGCTTTCAGGTGAGACATTTCTAAATCATTAGCTTCCAATTTTTTATTATATTCCGTTAGTTTTGATGTAATGTTCATAGACATTGCTGACAGTTCAGCCTTCAAATCTTTGACATCCTGATGAAGCTGCATAATGCTTAGATTTTGATCCTTTAAGTCAAGGACTTCTTTCCTTAGACAGCGTATTTCTTTTAAAAGAGTTGATATATTGCAGTCGCCTGCTGGACTAATATCGTTTTTAGTTTTTAAACGATTACCACGCGAAAAGGTAATATTTTCAGTAGTTGCACAAGCATTGTACGAGTTAGTAGTACTACAACGAACAGGAGTACTAGTATTATCTCCTTTAGGTATTGAGCAGACGCATGAAGGGCAGACCCATTTATTTTTAAACTCTTGGCTGAATCCAAGAAAATTTTCAGGTGTTAGATTTAAACATTGAAGATCATATAATTCTTTGCATGTGCAGCATTCCATATAATCTATTGTAAGTATATTTGAACCACAAGCGCCACATTTGATTGACATATTTGGTGTAAAAAATTACTTACGATGTATGCAGCTCGAATTTAAGTAATTCAATTACGTTATTTAGCAATTCAGGAACTGAGCATAGTTTGTTCATCCACAAAAAAGATAGATGGATGTCTGGATAATAATTTCTCCTGGAGGTGCAGAATGAGTTCCCTGCCTTTATGTGTAAATTTTCTCAGGTGATGACAAATGCCAATTTCTTTATAAAAAACTTAACAACAAGATCCGAATTCCGATCACAATGCAGTTGTACATTATAAGTTCGCGGGAAAAGGGTCTTAAGTGCCGTGCACAACGCGTCGCTTATGCGTTTCTATAAAACACTCCACAATTGTTTTAATGACGGTATTTTTACTTTATAGGTTCCAATTTTTCGTAGAAATATCTGTTTAAATGCACTTGTAAGTCAAAAATAGATATCACATAACACAGTTTATAGAATACACTTATAATTTATCGAAAGCTTGAGGTGAATGTAGTTATTAGTTAATAATAAATGAATATTAAGACGCCGTAACTCGAACGTGATGTTTAATCGACCAACTTTCAAAATCTTCCAATATAGTCATAACATCACAATATTATATAAGTAGGTGTATATATTTACCTATTATTGAAATATAGGTATAAAACTTTATTTTTAAATTGAACTAGGTATTAAGTTTTATATATATTATTAAGTTTTATCTTTATTTATAGCAATTTTTACATTCAAAAATAAAACTGTAGTTTTCTTTCAGCCTCTCAGACAGAGGTTGACTGTAAGAGATCCCTCTGTGGGATAAGTCCGCCATTGTATATCCAAAACTTATTGTATGTACAATAAAGATTTTACAATACAATACAATAAGATTTGTTTCTACTGTGGCCTTATAAAAAAATTAAAATTATACAAATATTTAATTTAAATTACATCTACAAAAAAATGTTTTATAACTAGATATTATACGCAAGTTTGTACGAAAAGTAAATAATAACTTCTAGATGACGTATCAATATAAAATATATAACATATTTAAAGTTAGCTTTTTAAGAATAGAAATGTGAAAATTGCATACAATTTAGTACAGTAGCTTTAACGTGACGCCGGTACATATAGACAGATGGAAGTTATAAAAATTCTTGTTTCTTAAGATGTCTCCTTCAATTTTTAAATGTCTTCTATGTGCACACATCATGTAGTTAAAATTTTATTATATTAGTAAAATAGTTACTATCTGTTCGTTAAAAAATATTTGTATCTTGTCCACTATACCTTGTTATTTACGTGTTCTCTTTTCATATTGTCGAAACAGTAATCTGTGTAATGTACGCTTAAATTTACAGATTTTTCCTTATACCAAAAGAGGAGGCCGCTTATGAGAAATATTTTGGCCCGGTTTTAGCGAAACGCGGCAGGAGATTGCCTAATTACAAGGAATTAATATACAATGCCTCTTTAATATTTGGTAACGAACACCACGCCGTTGGAAACTTGCCAAGCACTCCGCAGAACTTTAAGTTTATCGGAGGCTCTCATATTGAATCTCCAGCGAAACCGCTGCCGAAAGTAAGTTTTCAGTAGTTCGGTTCAGTTCACAAAGAAGAATGTTATAATCAAGATTAGATTAGGTTCGATTGGAAATGTTTGATTTCATCTTTTTTTTATACCACTGAGGTGACAAACAAGCATACGGCCCACCTAATGGTAAGCGGTTACCGTAGCCTATGAACGCCTGCAATATCAGGGGTATTATGCGCACGTTGTCGACCCTGAAGAAACCTCTTTAGATAGATAGATAGATACTCTTTATTGTTTTATTGTCAAAAGATTACAATAGTAAATTTATTATAAATATAAACAATTACAAGAAATAATCACAATGAGAAAACAATGGGCGACCTTATCGCTAAAAGCGATCTCTTCCAGGTAACCTTTGGATGGAGAGGAGTAATTATAAACTGTGTGATCGGACGCACAATGAAATTCTATTATTTCTTAATAGAGAGATATGATACATGTAATTTACCCCTTTACCCCCCTTTTGAAGAGCCCTATGCTGTAGTATCTTGGGAAAACCTCGGCAGGGAGCTCTCTTCACCTATTCAAATTTTCTTTCAACTAAAACGATATTATAATAATTTTAAATTATGGATATAATAGAAGTAAAAATAATTACAGGACTTACAAAGTTTAATGGACAATCCAAAAGATGGCGTTATATACTTCAGCATGGGATCCACATGGCAGAGTAAGGATATCCCGAACGATGTGACAGAGGGACTTCTTAAAGTCTTCGGGGAGTTGAAGCAGACTGTTATATGGAAATATGAGGCAGATTTGCAGAATTTACCTAAAAATGTACATATACTGAAGTGGGCTCCTCAACAAAGTATACTAGGTACTGATCTAAATATTAAGTCTACAATATATGTAGAATAAATATATATATATGTAGAATAAAAACTACGAAAGTTTTGATGGCGTATGAATGGATGTTGGTTGCTTTTTCATACTTAATAAACTTGGGCATTTTTTTAAGCAAGAAAGAGTATTTTAGTAATATTTAAATGGTAATTTGGTGTACTAGTAGGTAATATTTTAACACATATGGGAGCAAAGGTTTGTTAATAATGGATTTTAACAGTCCCATTGTTAGCAATATACTCTATCAGGTCCACCTTCATGCGGTTCTCCCTGGAAATCATCGTGGTAAATTCTTGTCGAATTCTTGGGCTGATGAGCTGCTTTCATCCTCAACTATCATTACTGGTGCCCTACTAGCGTATACCGATAGAGTAAATGAGGTTACTACTTAACTCAACACATGTAGTTTAATATAAAATTTAGTTGTATTTAGGATGAATAAAATATAAGCTACTTTTATTCCAGTCTATCAAAAAGTTCTAGTTACAAGAACAAATTTGCAGGACTAATAATTATATAAATTGACAGATAAATCAGATCATCATTATATGTGTTTGTATCCTAATGCATGGATATCTTGATTTTCAGGCTGGGATAAACGATACCGGATGTTGATTAGTATATATTATATCGGCTGCTGCTTCGCTAATTCCTTTTTTATTATTTAGCTTTGAACTTGGCTGGACACACTGCCGCTTGTTTAGATTTATTATTCAATTTTTTTCTAAACGATACTATTGTATTATAGATTGAATTGATATTATGGTGTAGTGTACATAAAAGAAAATTGCATTTAATTTGTCTCGGTTGTTTTCATATGTTGCTTGTATGTATGTATATATATATATATATATATATATATGTATATATATATATATATATATATATATATATATATATATATATATATATATATATATATATATATATATATATATATATATATACATAGTTGAAGATTTTAACAACTATTATTTTACCTTCTAGTCCATCCTACACTATAACATATAACTTAAGAACTTTCCACATTTAACTTACGGGTTTGCTAGTTTAGACTAGATACATAGATATTATTGGATTTCAAGTTTATGCATAGTCTTTTAACTGAGTTTATATCATTTTCATATATTAATCATCGTTAAATTTGTATCAATTTATCTAATTTTCGTAATTACTTCACTTCAAAAACACTTAAGCTCCACTAAAAGATAGTAATTAATCAATTGATCCCAAATGTTTTTCGCAGCTAATGGACAAGCAAATTAATAACTATTTAAGCTTCATTCACTTGCTATTCATAAACGTTCTTGACTTTAGGAAAATTATTCTATTTATTTATTACAGTTATATTGCACATTATAATATAATATTTTACCGGCATTACTAAAAATCTTGTTAAGCTTTTCAAACTGGGGAGAATAGCAGATATTATGTCAATTTATCCTTAACTTAATGTATTTTATTTAAAATGTCGCGCATTAGTTCAGGCTTCTGTCCTACTTTTGTTATAAACGGTCGTCGTAAATGTTTTACCTTTCATTATGATGGATTTAGTCATTTCTCACAATAAACATTACAAACATAAATATTCTCAACTTCTTTAACGCAATTCATTTAGAATTTAAAATTTCTCTATAGTGAAATATTATATTTAATAAGCAAGAAAGCCAATGAGAAGACTGCATTTATTTTAAAGGTTTTTATAGCATTACTGAAATGAACATAGAATGCATTTGTAACCTTAGTCTTAGCGTAGCAATGACGCTCTTAAAAAATTTAATTCATAAAAGTTTAGCTTCCAAATTTGAATTCTATTACGAGCATTCAAAATTGTTCGTAAGTAATTTGTCTTATACAAATTCCTCGTAGGTTTGGTCTCGGGAGAAAGTTCTAAACTCGCGTGATTTCAAGCCCTAGCTTTCGGCTTGGATAATTGAGTGTCACACTTCTTTGAGTTCTTTTCTAGATTAATATTTTATACTAGAGTTATATATATTACGATGAGAAAAATTTTATATACATATATCCGAAGAACTGAAATAAATTAAAAATATTAATTAATATGCATGACAATTAGATAATTTGTGATAAAAAATAGACATGTTAACGACTATAATTCCTAGTGGGTTAATCAAAGGTATTTTATGGGATGAAAATGAAATACTATCGGTATGTGTCGACGGTTGGTACCTCGTAAGCATATACCTACACTTACACCAGTGAAAAAAAAAGACAAGAAAAAGGGAGTAGAGATAATGTAACATTGATAATGTTTGGAAACATTTATTGCTAGCAATGGAACTACTAGTTAGAGGCATTTGTCGACTTTTACTATTGCAGTGAAAGAAATACTCGACATGCAGATATTTCGCCGAGTATGTTAAAATTTAACGTGACAGATATAGTTATATATATATAATAACCTAACCATAATTAACCTAATTTATACTTTCTCTAGGTATATTTTTCCTCATTGAAGATTTGTTAAGAAATTGAAATATAAACTTTTGGTATCGGTCAGACATTTAAAATAATGATCTCAGCAATTGAGCCAAGACGTTTTTAAAATGCTTCTAAAGTGGTTTCTAAATAGAGGATTAAATAAATAAAAACTTAAAAAAAAGTAAATTCGAATTATTTTTCAAAGTCTGATTAAAAATTCTTAAAAAAGGTTTAATTTCATTTTCTCCTATATACTAATAATACAAATATTAATTAATTTTGTTTCCAGCCCATCCAAACTGTTTGTTCTTCATATCTCACGGTGGTTTGCTGTCATCCACTGAAGCCATACACTTTGGTGTGCCAACAATAGGCGTGCCAATATTCTTTGATCAATTCCTCAATGTAAACAGGGCTGTAACAAAAGGCTATGCTATCTATGTCCCCTTGACTACCAACTTGCCGCATGATTTGAAGCCGGCTATTGAGACCATGTTGAGTGATTCGGGGTAAGTTTTTTTATACCACTTTTTATCAAGACTGTCAAATTGTTACTGTTACACACCTGGTAATACAGGCATTCTAGAAATGCCTGTATTACCAGGTGTGTAATTTGTGTGTTCTTGAATTTTGGAATGGCAAATAAGCTAACAGCCAGCCAAAGTGATATAGAGATTATTATGATATAATACCTTCCTTTCCCGTGGGTGTCGTAAGAGGCAACTAAGTAAGCTTAAGGTGGAGGAATGGGCAGCAGCGTTCCTTTTAAAACATCACCAAAAGATAAATTGTGGCTGCCAATCCGTCTGCCAAGCGTGGCAACTGCTGGCAAAACCACTCTTATGGGGGAGGCTATTTTTAGATTCAGCGATTTCGGCTGCCGGTTGATATATGGGTCAGTCAGTCAGTCGCTAAGCATCCTTTCTTTACATATATAATTTTTAATTAATAATTTAAAAATATGCTACCGCCACGTATGAAGGTAACGGCAAACAGCTACTTTGAGTAAGTATAAAAAATTTTAACAACAAAATCACAGAATAATCTTATGTTACCTTTGGTACTCTCTGTGCAAAGCTGATAATAGTTAAAGAGAGAAAGAGATAACTGATCTTTTATACTCGTATTTGTATATGCAGGTACAGAAGGAAAGCGTGGGAGCTCAGTAAAATATATCACGACCGGCCGGTATCCCCTGGGGCGGAGGTGGTGCATTGGGTTGAACACGTGATACGTACAGGTGGCGCTCCGCACCTCCGCTCACCAGCGCTACATGTGCCTCTCTACCAGAAGTTCTACCTGGACCTAGCCGTTGTTCTAATTCTATCGTTTTATGTGTTAACACTGGCAATTAAATCAATATTCTGTAAATCAACAAAAACGAAACAAAGAAGTGACAGTAAGAAAACGAAAAGGAATTGATTGTAAATTTGATTTTTTTTATTAGATTTTTGTTAATAGTTTTTGCTTTATTTGTTTTATTTTTGTTTAGATTGTTTCTGCCTACCCTAATAGGAGACAGGCGTGACAGATATGTATGTATGTATGTATGTAGATTGCAATATAGTTTAATTGCAATGTTTTTAAATAATGTTACATAAAAAGTCTAATTTCAATATTGAAAAAAGAATGGCCACAGTAATACAAGGGATAATTAAAAAAAAAAAAATTAGATTTAATAGGTAAGTTTTTGATACCTTTGACTACATTATTGTCATTTTCGAAGGACCTTTTTTTTATTTAAATAATATATAGCTGATTATATATGTGCCATGTGGTCCCGGCATAGAATTGACCACCACTTCCTTTCCCGTTGGTGTCGTGAGAGGTCGCCTCTTAAGGGAACTTAGAAATCGAGAGATGGACAGCCTGCGATTGCTAATCCGCCTGCCAAGCATAGCAGCGACTTATAAAACCCCTGTTAATGGGAGAGACCTATGTTCAACTGTGGGTAGTTAACAGTTGATATGACGATGAGAATACGATATGTAATTAATAATTTAGTTTTCTGTAGGTGAAAGGATTTTTAAAATCGGTTTAGTGAGTTTATACATAACTAACAAACAAAAAATCTTTTCTCTTTATAATATTAAAATAGATATATATTAGTAAGTATAACAGAGTATGTAGTATCGTCATGTGTTCTCTGGCATAGAATAGGCCACCCCTTCTTTTCCCATGGGTGTCGTAAGAGGCGACTAAGGGAGGGCGAGATATGGGCAGCAGTGTCCCTCTTAGAACATTTCTAAAAGCCTAACTACGGTTGCCAACCCACCTGCCAAGCTTGGCAACTACTGGCAAAACTTCCCTTATGGGCATGAAGGCTTCCATCCAGCAGTGGTCAGTGGCTGAAATCTATACTTATAATAAATCTGTAGAGAGGTCAATTCTGTACCTGAAATATATTTCTAAAATAACTATCAGGGGGTGATTAGTGATCGATACTGATGCCAAAAATGCAGTTAGTAAAATTTTTGTCTGTCTGTCTGTCTGTATGTTCGTTATAGAAACAAAAACTACTCGACGGATTTTAACGAAAGTTGGTACAATTATTCTTCATACTCCTGGGCAGGTTATAGTATTCTTTTCATCACGCTATGATCAATAGGAGCAGAGCAGTGAAGGGAAATGTTGAGAAAATGGGAGAAGTTACTCCATTTTTAAGCTTCCATCGCGTGTGCAGCCTTAATGGCAACTTTTTAAAATGTAAAAATGTCCATCAGTGCGACGTAGGGACGCTAGTATAAATAAAAAGTATAACAGTAGATAGATAGGTAAGTTTCTTCTTGTTCTATCTTTGCTTATATACCGATATTTTTAACAACAATCTCAATATTTTTACATATGGCGGTATAATAAAAATATATTATGTACTACGGCGCCATAATGTTAAGTCAGATAAAGAAAGGGCGGCGAATTCACTTCGACAAAACGAAATATGTTTTCAGGCCCTCCTGTGTTATTGCATCGTAAATTTTCTTCTTTTCTATATAATTTTCCTTTGTTTTTCATCATAATATTGATGTTTTGTTGTTATAATTATATTGTAGCAGGAACTATAATCGCCGTGTTGTCCTGGCATAGAATGGACCCCTTCCTTCTCCGTGGGCGTGTTAAGAGGCGATTAAGGGAACTTAATAGTCGAGGGATGGGCAGCAGCGTCCCTTTTAAAACATTGCTAAAACCTAACTGTGGTTGCCAATCTGCCTGCCAAGCGTGGTAACTACTCGTAAAACTCCCCTTTTTAGAAAGGCCTGTTCAATAGTGGACAGTTAACGGCGGATATAAGAATATTATATATATATATTAGATTAGTTGTATGTTTTAATTGTTGTCTGTGTTATGTTTGTCATCACTGTATGGTGTGTTAAAGTCATAAATGTCTATCTGTCCCACTTATGATCATGCAGGTACATTTATGGCGTTACAGACAGAAGTCTATGATAATGGGCTATTCATATCTTTTTTCTCTTATACAAACGTCATTAAAAAATCATTGCGATTTATTCCAGAGAATTTATCACGATGGACTAACTGATTGGATTTCATCTTCATCCATTATCTCTCATTGGTGCTCCGCCCATTACAAAAAGTAGTCCGAGAATTATGAAATTTTATAAATAAAAAAATAATACAAAATGTATTCTTATATATTTTTTTATTTTTTTATACAACTTAGAATGGCAAACAAGCTGATGGTCCACCTGATGGAAAGTGGTAACCGTCGCCTATAGACATGAGCAGTACCATGGATATAACAGAGTATACTGTTTCGCCCATGATACCCCCCATGCGTTGCCATTCCTGAGGACTCAGGTGTTATTCCTCTGTACCCTGTAAATTCACGCCATATCCCACCCTTCAAATCGAAACACAGCCATGCAAACACAACTGCTTCACGGTTAAAACACGAATGGGACAGAGGTACCCAAGCAATTGACTTTTGTACAAAGTCTCCCTCTGGTAAACGTATACGAGTAAAACTTTAAACAGCTCACGTGACGGGATACCTGCGATTCTTAGAAATAATAATTGAAAATTAGTTACCATAAGGTAAATTCCCAATTATTGTGTTTCGCATGAAATTTGGGTCTTTGACAGCATATGTCACGTAACGTCAGATTAGTTTAGATATTAGAACAATAACTACTAATAGTATAAGATCCCGCAGCAGAATTCTGCAGGTATGATTTTTTAATGAAACTTATTTGAAATCAATTGTCGTGTGGTCCCGGCATAGAATGGGCCACCCCTTCTTTATCCATGGGTATCGTAAGGGAATTTAATGGTTGTGAGATTGGCAGTTGCGTCCCACTTAAAATAACACAGCCTAACTGCGGTTGCCATCCCGTCTATCAATCATAGCAACTGCTAGCCGAACTCGCCTTATGTAGAAGGCCTATGTCCAATAGTGGCCAGTTAACGGCTGATGTGATAGTGATCATGATGATTCGAAATGAAAGATGAGCTAAAATATAATAAAATGCTGGGTGTCTGCTCTCAATTACTCACAACCTTGTATTGTAACCTTGTTCTTGGCCGAATTCAAATAAGAACCCACAGCACTTTTCTTCTGAGTTGGAGTTTATCGTCAGGTTGTTTAGCCAGTAAAACATCAGCAGTACCCATATGGTTCCTAAGCTGTATGGGGTCGGCATGATGCATTTTCTTGACGTTAAAAAAAGTATAGGAACCTGGTATCCTTACTTGTGACCATTTTTTATAAACAATCTTATGTTGTCGCATAGAGAAAAGAATAAACTTCCATTTAGTGAGGTTTTATTAGAACGAACCAATTTCCCATAAATGCAGCACCATTCATTTGGAACGAAACATTAGACGCAGATAATCCTTACTTGTGAGCATTTTTTTGAGACCGTCATATATTACCATGTATAGGAAAGAATAAACCTTCGTTCGCTGTAAATCTTTTCAAAAAGCATATTGAGAGGAAATTTAACAAAATTATTGTACCTGTTTTGACATGGCAACACTAGATTGCGGATAACTGAAAGCAGCCAACCTCTTTCAATTCTTTCTAGTCAAGTCCTTAATTTAAATCAGTTTTCATTAAAAAGTTTTATGTAGAAGAAAGACAGATTACCTGCAGAATTTGGAAGCGAGATCTTAGGCTATACGGATTGTGATCTAATAGTGTTGTTCTTAGAATAATTATGTTAAGTTATTCTAAGAACTATATCCTGAACATCAAAACAATATAATGTAATAATTATTATTTCAATCTTGCTCCATTAACTAAAATATCTGCATTATGTTTAATGAAATTCAATTAATGGATATGATATCTTCATGAAGGAAATTTAAACACATTTGCATGCACTATACTCTTATTATATAGGTAATATAACTGAGGTTATTTTTTTTTTACTAAAGTAAATTTAGATAAAATATCTTTATAATTATATCTTTTTTTTTATACAACTTAGAATGGCAAACAAGCCAACGGCCCACCTGATGGAAAGTGGTAACCATTGCCTAAAGACATGAGCAGTACCATGGACATAACAGAGTATACTGTTCCGCCCATGATAGCCCCCATGCGTTGCCATTCCTGAGGACTCGAGATGTTATTTCTCTGAACCCTGCCTGCCATATCCCACCCTTTAGACGGAAACACAGTCATGCAAACACAACTGCTTCACGGTAGAAACACGAATGGGACAGAGATATCCAAGCAATCGACTTTTGTACAAAGTCTCCCTCTGGTGAAAATATCTAATAAGTTCTAATATAATTAAGATTTATCATCATCATTTCAGTCATTATCCGTCCACTGCTGAACATGGGCCTCCCAATAGAAAGTCAGAAATAATTAAGATTGTGTTCCTTAAAAAACGGACTGTCATTATTGCAAAACCAGTTAGTTATTCTGATTTAAAAACTAATCTACTGTATCGATTTTGATAAAATTTGAATCTGAAATAGATTCGCCTAACAGAAATTTTATATATCCTTTCAGAGATGTCCTTTTCTGTTATGTCCATGGTACTGCTCATGTCTAAAGGCGACGGTTACCACTTTCCATCAGGTGGGCCGTCAACTTGTTTGCCATTCTAAGTTGTATAAAAAAAAATTCTAAACCGGTTTATAACTGTAAACGACAATTGGAGGTAACATACAAAAATTATCTCCGAATTGACAATTTTTTTTTAAGTCAGTTGATGAGCTAAATTGAATTAAAATGCTTTATTAAACTAATATGTGTTTTTAAAATATTATAAGTTGCCAAATTATGTCATAAAATAAGAAGTCGTATGCCTAATAGGTTCAGAATCTTTTATTTGGCAAGCGGTCGGTGGCTACAGTGCCAAGAGGTCTTGATACGACTATGTCTTAGTCTGTATAAGAGCAAATATATAATACATGCAAATTTTTTACGACCTTGACCTAAATGTTTCTTTTGCTTCTAATTATAAATGAATAAATTAAGATTTATACACAACAAAA